GTTCGTTCAATTGGGAAACGAGTGGGAGACGTTCGTTCAATTGGGAAACGAGTGGGAGACGTTCGTTCAAATAAAATGACTATCATTATATTTTTAGAAAAGAAAAAAAGAAAACAAAAAAACATACGACGAACGTTTTCGACTTTCTTAAATTTTGAACAAACTTATCCTCCTCGTGTAAATTTGATATAAATAAAAGTTCTTTAGTCATCCTCGGAAAATTTTAGGCTCTTGTCGCGAATTTGTTTTTTCTATCATCGTTTAACAAAAATATCTTCTCATTAATAATTAATATTACGTGCGCGTGCGCGTGCGTGCGAGCGATTAAAAGAAATATTAGGATTAAGATAATTTAGCAATGATTATGTAAATTATTGTAAATTATTTCACATAAATCTGTGCGTAAATTTTAAATATTAATTATTGACGGGTGACGCGATGTAATTATCCTAGGACTTTAGATTTAGACGGGGTTGACAGTTGTTTGTCTGCGATTAGATATGTTCTGCGATTAGATATGTTCTGCGATTATAGGATTAAGAATTAGGAATTAGGGAAAATTCTACTTAATTAGTTTCTAATTCTTATTTTTAAAAATTCAATTGGCAAAACCTGTTTCAAATTTATATAAATATATATACGTTCATAGAAACTTGCTCGGGAATGATTTTAATTTGTATAATGTCCGACAATGACGATGCTAGGTAAAAAGAAAGATAGACAGAGTAAGAAGTATCCCTTAAGAGAAATGTACCAAAACTTAAATGTTTTAAAAAAGTATGGCGAGAGCTTTCATGAAATGATGGTCAAATAACCGAAGAAATAATATTATTGTTCCATACGGTACGACAGTAAATAAGTAAGTGAACAGATTTAGAATTAGTTTGATAAGTAATAAACGACTCCTAACATGGAACGCAAATGCGCGATGATTTATAATTAGATCCTAAGTTTTTAGAAAAGAAGTTTGCCAATTCACTATTTTCTAGAGCCTGCCAGGTATCACAAATAATGCTAGTTATCCAGTATCATCTATTTAGCGTAGTTGATTACGTTATAAAAAAAAAAAAACTACATTATTATTCTACCCGATAAGTAATTAGAAATTTGTGTTCTAAAAGAAAAAGATTTGTTAGGTATATTTTTGATGAAATACGTTTTATTAGGATGAACGGAGTATAAATCACGAGGATTAGCATCGTAAAAAAATAAAAGACAAAAAAAAATAAAAAAGATAAAAAAAAAAAAAAAAAAAAAAAAAAAAAAAATAAAAAAAAGAAAAAACAAAAAATAAAACAAACAAAAAACAAAAAATAAAACAAACAAAAAAGAGGCAAATACAAAAAATTGGTAGCGGAAACTTGATAAAATCACAACAATGATCGAGAGTTAGCCAACCAACCTTACAACAAAAAAATTGATAAAATTTACAAAAAAAATTTGCAAAATATTTAAAAAATTACAAAAAAAAAAAAGAAAGAAAAGAAAAAAAAAGAAAAAGAAATAAAAGATAGGAGAAACAACGACTATGAACAACACGCGTAACCCAATACCACCGTACCTATTTGGTTGACAGGACACGCAAATTGAAGATAAAAGTTATCCCTCAATAGGATAATATGTGGTGGCAGAGTAAAAACAGGCAGCAGAAACGATTCCTTCACTATCTTATTCGCATCAACATCAAATTCTAAGTGCATCCCGAACTTAAATAGTTCGAAAAGCAAGAAGAGAAGGGGGTCTTTTTTCTGACGTTTTCACGAAAATGTCTGAGAGATCACGTGGCAACACACTTGTTAGATATATAGCGAATGAGTTATCCTTCCAAAAATACCACATTCGAGTAATGTTCGTACTAAAAAGACACCTAACGCGTCAGCTTTTTACCACCAACGACCAACAACACTGTGTATGTGTGTGTGTGTTACTTTACTTTGATTATACACACAAACAAACACCCACAGTCCCGCTGAAATTCCGATTCCAATCAACGAACGGATGATGATACATTTTCGAACTTTCTCGAGAGATTTTCAATGTTTCGGGGTTCCATTTTAGAAGAGCGAACATTTCTCTGGGATTAGTGTTGTATAGAAATAATCTTTGGTAACTTGAAGAAGGATTGGGTGGGAAAAGATTTACAAATTGAGATAGAGTCTCATGCACCTTAGTATACTTAACATCGTTATGTGTGTAATATTTGAATGTCATCTTTTAAATTTAGTAAAAGTTCATCTTTTAAATTTAGTAAAAGTTCATCTTTTATAGTGTTACGAATATTCATGACCAACAATTATGCAATCTCGTAGTAATATACATAGGCTCTGAGGTATAACAATTAATAAATTGATCTCCAAATAACATACAAGAAAAAGGATGATCAGTTTAAATCGTAAAAATACAAGATAAATATTGCTTTAGATACTTCAGGTACTTACCCATAGGTCCGAATACACTTCAAAATTATTTGATTCGATGAAAAGAATTTTTCGCAGGTATTCGGAATTGAACAGAAACTGTCGTTTAACGATTACTGATAATCATATTAATCAATCTCAAATAAAAAAGGATAAAAATCCTCCCTCGGTCTCGGTGTTAGAGAGTAAAATCACGTTCGATCGATCAGAGAGAGGATAATAAAATAAAAATATTCCGAAACGATGTTTCAATCGTCATCCAACCGTGTAATTCAACTTTATTCTATGGATAATGATAGAAACATATCGCGGAATTGAGAGATATCGGTGCAAATGGTAATAAATTAACGCAAAATAACTTACCCCCGATAGGATTCACGATTTATGCTAAAGTTTCCTTAAAATAAAAGGAATGAAAGATAAAAAAGCAAATAGGAAGGAACAATCTTGAGCCTTGTATGAACGAATACATTAAAGGTGTGTACTATGTTTTATCTCGTATAGATAAAAAATAGTTATTAAGTGAAAACAGTAAAACTAAATTGAGAATAATATTATTCTCAAATCTGAAAATCTTATTCTCTGAATCCCATTCAAGGAAACGTCATCTCACTTAGGCGCGCATACTTAGGTAATTCTAACGTTGACCCCCTTTTTTGTTCTTTCTTTTTTTTCTTACAACAGGAGGTAAAATTTTAACCTCCTTTTTAACATACCATGGGTTGGGAGGGGCAGGTTAAAAGCCTTTTAAAAACGGACAACACACTATATTATTTCCTGGACGGGTAAACTAAAGCCAAGTACTCGTGAGTCTTTCATAATTTTTAAAAATATCGTCCAGGTAAATACACCCACTACCCCCTCGCTTCCCTATTCTATATACAATTCACTGAAACAATTATTATTTTTTTGTCGTGTTAGTGTGTTTGTCCTAAGTAATATTCTATATCCTTTGAAAAATAATTTTAATAATCGTATCGAATTCATTTTAAAAACAAATTTAAATGGCATAAAACCATAAGATTTTAATTGTCCGAATGATTTACTTGCTTTTAAGATAGCTTGTAACGGGGAACAGGTTTTTAAATAAACTTTTTAAGATCGGTTTATTGATAAGAAACAAAAATACTATGATGTTCACGTAGTATGAATGATGAGCGTGCCATTGAAATTTTTAACGTAAGAGACTCTTTTTTCATCTCTTCTCGAGGTGATAAAGATTATTATAAATGTAAAAAACAAAACAAGCGGAGAGATTATTTTAATCACATAGTTAAGCACAATTACGCGTGAGAGCTTTCATTATCGTAAAATAATATTATCATTATCGTAACATTTTTACTCCTACGACTAGTTGCTTTTCTTATTTCCTTATCGATGGGTATCATAAAAACAATAATAATAATAATAATTAAATAAAAACAAAAAAAAAAATATAAAAATATAATAAAAAGAACGACGAGCAATCGTCGTCGTCAAAAAAGAAAATAAAAAAAAAATAAATATATAAATAAGTTTAAGTGGTTCACAAGAGTGTGTAGTAGTATTCGTTAATTTAAGAGGCGGAACTGGACCTGATTAGAATGAAGCATTTTAATTGTTAATTAATAAATATATGCCAAGGGGTATTCTAGTATCTTGATAAATATGGTTAACAATAATCTACTAATGTAGATTAAATAATATCGATTGATTATTCATAAAAATGAATATACGTTTTAGGGAGGCAAGTGAAATTTTGTTCGTGTCGCTTAAAACAATAAATATAACCAATCAACTGTGCACCCTCATTTTAAAATGATCGATAGGTTATAATATACTTGAAGAAAATTGTCTGAAAAGTTTTTAACCGATTACAAAAATCAAACGAAATATTTCCTTCGTTTAAGAACGTAAAAAAAAAAAAAAAGAAAAAAAAGGGAGAAAATAATATGCACGATATACTTACAAGTTCAAAACCACCGAAATAATAATCTTCCCTGTCGGATAATAAAAAAAAAAATATAACACGACCCGTTTGAGAAAAGAGAGACACCCTAAATGAAAAAAGAAACTAAAATCCAAAACGAGATAAATGATGAAAAGCAGCACACAACAACACGCTCTTTGTTGCACGAATACGATTTAAAAAAAAAAAAAGATACTCGATTATAAATCAATTAGCTTTTGCGTTAATGCATACATATTAAAAATGCACGTTACTTAAACGTAACACATACTTATACACGACAGACCAGACACATACACAAGCAAGTAGCATTTTAAAACTGGAATATATACAAATATTCCTTTAATTAGGTAATAGTTGTAATGATTAATAAACGGGCTAGGAATCATTAGTTCTTAATATTAAATCATAAAAATCTATAAAGTTCATTCGAGAACTTATGGTTACAATGGCAACTAACCCATAGCATCGAATCACGAATAAAGTCTCTGTAGAAAACTTATGAGAAATTTTTCATTCGAAACTTAACGATGTCTCGTTGAATTTACTGGATAAAACGATTGTTCATTCAAACGAAAATAAAATGAAATGAAATGAAATGAAAGAAATGAAGGGAGGGATTAAGGACGGAAGGAAGAATATTATTTAAAAAAATATATGATAGGGTGTTAGTTGTTAATCATACAACACAACAACTGCGTGACATTTATATATACATTAAAATATCTACACATACGTATATATATTTATTAATATTTATATATACTTATGTATACATAATTATATGTATATAATATAATATCTCTATCTCTATCTTTATTAACAAAAAAGAAAAAAAAAGAGGAAAACACGTCACTGATTAATGATAAACTGCGTATTATTGAATACATACATACATATATATAAGTCATTTTATATATTATAAATATAAATACTTATATGTATATATTTATATATTACTATAATTACACGAAATATCCGAGGAAAACTTTACATTTACACATACTACTCTACATGAGAATATTATTAAATTACGAGCTATAAAAAGAATAAAAACAAGATAAAGGAAAAAAAGAAAAATAAGATTTGGGATAATAACTTAAACGATTTGTATTGTATATCTCGATGGCTTGAAGGTAGTATATACATCATTTTGCTTATTTTTAGAATACGATATTATAATCGTGAATATAACACGTTTAATTATGATTATTTTATTATAAACTATGGGATTGGTATTAAACGTTTGTACGATGTGTTGTATAACCAGGGTTATAAATCGCTATAGAATACAGTTTATCACTTATGTTAGGTATAGAAACGCGTAGATTATGTATCTACTACAGTGTGTGTTTTATAATACTACTGGTTCTTTATCTACTTAATAACAAAAAAAAAAAAAAAAGGTCTACACAAATGCAACAACAAATTACAAGTTTTACTATACTATTGTACGCTCCTGACAAATATTTTACAAAACGACACATTTTTACTTCTAATAGATACATTTTATCTGGCTATGTTTATATCATAAAACTTATATAATGATATTAATATATAAAAATAATATATCAGTGTGCTACGTTAAAAACAAAAATAACGAGCAAACATAATATAACAGAATTCATAAATCTTTTACTGGCTGAGAAAAAACAATAAAGTGAAATCAGATATAAAAAAAAAAAACAATCATTGAGTATTCTATTTTTTTCTTTTTTATTTATTACAATAACCAATTATATCGTCCTTCCTATATTAATATTAATATTTAAACTTTACGCTCCCACATGTTTCATAGTTTTAATTTTTGTATCTACCTTATTGGTGTGTATCATTGAAGCTTGATACGCGTACACTAATCAAAATCATTTTGGGATCCGGAGGAAGATAAAATTTGTTAAATGGGTCTCTCTTACTAAGGTATGAAATATTTTTTATTTATTTAATTAATCGTTTATTATATATGACTATTTAATTATATTTCACATTCTATTTATTAATATATATATAACATTTTTAACAAAGTAAACTAGTACTATATATTAATATTACAATATTCAGGGTGTTTCAATTATTTTTTCGCAAAATTAATCGTATCATATTCTATGAGTAAAAATAAGAAAACAATGTTTTGTTTTTCAGATAATAATTAACATAATAAATAAAATTATATCATTCATATATATAATAAAATAATATTACTTAAGTAAAACGAAACTTGAGATAGAAGCATAATGAATGAACCAATTGAAAGTATTATTAATAATTATATATACTTTTATTTAAAATAATTTTTTAAATACTATCATAGTAGATATTAGACGAACATTACTATAACGAGCTTTATAAGATAACATTTTTTCGTGTTATTTTTTCGTCTCTTGTTATTTGGTGGATTGGCTTTTCTAAATTTTTTATCGTAGCTTGCAGCTTACACCTTCCTGTAGAAAAAAAAAAGAAATCTATGGAGATTAACTTAATAAAACACTGGGTATTTTGTTGTGAACATCAAAATTCGTGTTCTTCCATATTTTATAATACTACAGTTTTAGATAAATGTTGAAAAAAAAAAAACATCGTGTAAATCAATTTTTCCATTTCATGCAACGTGTGTTTTACAATTATGCTTTTTTTATAATTAAATCCTATAGAATCATTCTAATAATAAATATATATATAATATATAATATACAATAGATTAATATGATGAAACATAATGGTGCTATATAAAACATTAAATTAAATCTAAAATAAAATTCGTATATCAATGCTAATAATAGTAATACTTTTTAATTGAGAAATATAAATGAAAAAAATGTTAATGTATAATTAATATCGAACAATTGACACGGTTCTTCTGAGCACACTGTTAATTCTACCGATGTTTGTGTATTCGTAGAAACGATTGGGATAAAATTTCGAAATTATTTCTACGAGTTTGAAAAATGCATCGTTTAGAAAAGTGTGCAATGATGATAAATGAGCCGTTTATTCGAATGATTAATTATACTTTTTTCGATAAACGATCGAGAGAGATCACATTTCTATGAAGATATAATAATTTTATTTTCCAGAAAAATCATCCTAATTGTTGTCGAATGAGAAATCATTTTTGAAGAAGACACTCGTTCAATTACTTCAATGAATTTATTTTCAAATATCATTGTAAAATTGTGAAATATATTTATTATTAAAATAAAAAAAGAAAAACAAAAACACACACACATATATTGAAATAACATATTATTATTTATTAAGAGAGTATAAATTAAATTTGATAATCCATATTATTATATCTTTACTAATAAAATTTTTAATCGATAAATTTATCGAGATCATCTGTTCTATGATTAAACGAAATAACTTTCATATAATGCGAATACTTATTGAATGGTTAAACAATTAAAATTTGTTACGAATTATTCTCGAGATATAATTGTCTGCTAAAAAATAAAAAAATAATATTAAGGAATAAATAATGATTGAAAATCGATGTGAAAAAGGGCGTTTAAAAAACAAATATCAATAATATATATATATATATTATAATTAATATAATCAAAATTGCATCTAACGTGAGATAAATATTACACAGTATACATTTTAAAGTTGTTTAAAATTGAAGAATATAAAAAGAGCCCATAATTTGTGAACACTTTTTAACAAAAAATGAGTTGTTTTAAAAGAAATCTTTAAAAAAATATATAATACACTAGATGAGAAATAATTACGATTCAAAGAACAAAAAGATATTTCTATGCAAAGTACTACTACCACCATGCTATAAAAACTGAAGAGACAAAGTTAGATACTAAAAAGAAACGGAAGAAAAAAAAAAAAAGTAAAAGGGTTATAGTCTCGACGGAAAAGTTTCTCAGACAACAAACGTTTTACGATTGATCGTTCGAGAGTTACTTGAAAATAATAAAAAATAAAAATTACATATCTTGCTTTTTATAGATAGAGATGATTCTTTGCTTCGAAAAATCATAGATTAAAAAAGAGAAAAAAAGGTATGAGAACGGAGGAAAACTATTAAAGAACAATGATTTTCCACGACAAAGTATACTAAAGTAAATTTCAAATTTAAGGTACGTACATATTGACGAGTAATTGATTAGTATAATAATTAAAAAAAAAAAATAACTTAATTAAATATTAATACAGTATTATAAGAAACAAATATATTGACATATCTTTTACGAATATGAAATAATATTAATATAAAAAATAATAATCTAATATTGAATTAGTTTAAAATTAATGAACACAGAAATTTTAACAAATTCAAATTGAAATATTATTTACCTTTTTTAATTTATTATATTAAATGATTCGATGAGATTATTTTCCAATTAGTATATAATAATTCATTTTCGAGTGTCAAATTGAGTATTAGTGTGTTCGTTGTTTAACAAAAATATGAAATAATTTTCCTCATTCAAATAGTTTTTCGAAACTAATCCACGATACGCACAGTAGAAAATCCAGCTGAGTTTTGAGCTCTCGTTGTTGTTTATAACTATAACCAACTTTTTTCTTTTTTTTCTTTTTTTTTTTTTACCTGTCCCTTTCTTTACACACTATTCCAGTTCGATAGAAACGTGTTCTGTATATAGACGAGCTGTGTAAAGAGAAATGCGTGCGTCTCATTTTTTTTTCTAACGATCGTCTACAACAGTGTTTCCCCACATATCTTCTTATATTCTATATTTTCTTTTTTTCTTTTTTGTATAAATCCTACCCCTAAATATCTCCCAAAATTTCTACGAATAAGAGTACACCCATTTAAAATACAATAAAACATACCAAAAATTCAATAATAACTATGTCAAATTAAAAAGAATAAATAACAAAATTATATTTAAACGAATAATAATAAAAACTAATAATTATCGATATAAAAAATTGAAATGTAAATTTAAAAAATAATAAAATGAAAAGTAATTGATGACGATTATTGACTTATCGTTAATGTGTCAAAATGATTTGTTAATTGCAACACGTGTGAATGAAAATAAAAACAATTCCAAATGTTTTATCGAATAATATACTTTAAATCTCAAATTGAGAAACACTGATATATAGAAACTCTACACACATACATACACAGACATAGTACAAAGTATATCACAACCCCCCCACCTGATTCTTCTAATCGAATATTTAAAAAGTTCGAGACAGGTTCTTTCCCTTATTAAACATTCAAATGAGTTGCATTTTCAACACGTATGGGGAACGATTTAACCCTTTGACCACGCCTCTTGAAAACTTTGTAACAATCGTCGTCGTAGCACTTTTAACGAAGTCCACCCCCTTTCGATGGTGATACACCTTCCCTCACACCACCACACCTTTAAGCTTACTCGCATTGATGGATGAGAAAAAGGGGAGCTGTGTCTTGTTTTTTTCTTTTTTTTTTATTATTATTATTATTATTTTTAGAACGAACCTAAGGCCAATCGTTACATGTTCCTTTTTTTTTTTT